TAACGCCATCATCCCCAAACACTGCCCGCGAGGTTAGGGGAGGGGAGACAAGAAAATCCCCCGTTTCAATTCGCTCTTTTCTGTCCTTTTGGCCTTTGGAAGATCCCTGATACTCAAGCTGGCTGTTCGTTGTGTTTGTTTCATGATCGCGTCGTGAAAACTGTGGCCATGATGGAATTGACAAATAAATCGTGATGGTCCAGTTTTAAGTTTACTTGGACAGCATCATGTTTTATTTATTTATGCGTACGTGAGTCCTTACGAAGCCTCCATAGTTCTAGCCTCCCCCGCAGACATTCTTAGGGGTGCGTCACGCGTTGCTGTGTCTGCGCGGAAGGCTACCACTGTTCTAGTCTCCTCCGCAATCGTTTTTAGGCTTGTCACGCAACGTTGCGTGACGAACCTAAAAACGATTGCGAAGGAGACTACCATTGTTGGCGCAAAAGTATATTATTGGGCTATGTACACTTCAATTTTTTTTGCCTGATTTTGCCTTTTTTTTTTCGCTGCGGGGTGGTTTTGGTCATTCTCTTTGACACTTGGAGTCTTGCTTTCCTACGACAGAATCGATGGAAAGAAATTTTCACGCTCATTTTATTACTTGTGCTCCTCCGACAAGAACTAAAGAGCTGTCTAGTACTGGAACATCATGTTGCTCTGCTAAGTTTTCTGTCTTTCCATTATATGCGAACGTTTTACCAGCTAGTCAGCAGTTACTGACAAAAAACAAAACGACGTTATTTTCCATTATCAACCTAGTACCACATGGCCCAATATATACCGTATTTATTCCATTAAACGCCGCCGCGTTTATTCGAGGGCGGCATTTATTTCGAAATCACTTTTTTAAAATCACTTTTACAGTAATTGCTCGGCGGCAGCATGGTTCCATCACAATTTGCGACTGCAGCGCTTTGAAGTCAGCGGTTGAAGTAAGTGCTCAGCTGCCGCGCCTCTTTGTCTCGTAGAAGCCGCCCGCCATGTTTTGTTGTCATGTGCGGTTAAGATCTGTACAGAAATCGTAGTCCATCAGATGTGTACTGTCTCTTTAAACGGCCTAAACGGTAAGAACAGTTCAAGAAGTATTGTACGAAACATTTTTTTCGTTGTTTTTTTTTTAAATTGTAGATTAGTTATAGCGAGTATTCTTGTGTCACACAGATTGTTATCTCTGGAATCAGGGTTGTAAGTTACATATTAAGCGAACGGCATGTGCTGTACGTCTACCTAACCTGTGAATAAAGAAGTTTTGGCCTTAACGTTATTTGTTCGCAACTCTTCTCTTCTTCGATGAAGAAACAGCCTATCGGCACTGCTGTTGTTTTAGAATTTAGTGAATTATTGAAATGAATTACAAAATCATATTGAAACTTTAGCGAGTTATCTGAATGTAAGCGTATCTGTCATTGTGATCGGTTCATTTTTTATATTTCCCTCTGATTGTTTCATAATTCACACAAGTCTAAGTTATTGACTTTAATAAAAGAATGCATATGTTCAACTGTTCTACAAAATGTCTTTGTTCCTGTTCGCATCGTATTAAACTAAGGGCAGCACTTCCTTCTCAATGAGAACTTCTAGTTGTAAATCGTTTGTAAATATTATGTCATAAACGTTCCAATGTCTCTCTTATTTTGCTGAGATAGATTCGTAAATGTCTGGATGGTGTAACTGAAAGTACCAGGTTGAACCGAAGTTTTTCCTATTATCCTCGAGTAAACGCTGCATTCTTCTGATTAGGTGCGGCGTTTATTGGTAATTTTGCTTCTAGTTGTGGCATTTGATCAAGGGTAGCGTTTGTTCGAGGGCGGCGTTTAATCGAGAAAATACGGTATGACAATTATTTACACCTAATTGCAATAAAACTGGCATAGAAAAATGAAAAAAGGAAAAAGCCAAATAGAGATTACTAAGGTTTACTATTAAACCATTATAGCTATATTGTACTACATATGTTTTCTGGAGCTTTTTTGACTGATATGCGTGACTGGATGAATTGCATAGTTGCGAATGTTTTAGGTTCGAGAAGTCTAGTTTTGTTTGCTTCTTTTCGTTCTTCGATTCTTCAAAAGCACGAGTTAACCTACTAAAAGTAAACATGTGAAGGCCATTTTGAAACGAACCAAAATTTTAAAACTCCCCTTATAGGTGACGCAATTCGCAATTATACGCAATCATAAAGAAAGGGAAAGAGCCTGGATGAGGGTTTGTCTGAGCTAGATCCCAGTTGGGGTTTTGTACAACCCGTAACAAAGGGAGAGAAAAATCCAAAGTTCCCGTTTACGTACGATTTTGCATGCGATGTAGCATTGGAACGTTCCATATATTTTCCTTCCCCGTTTAAGAGGAGAAGACTGGTTATGAAAGGCGGCAAACATCGAAGATAAAACAATGTTGCGTACAGTTTAAATTGGAAGCTCCCTTAGTCTGCAACACAGCCATTTTTAGTGTCGTCACGCAATGCTCCTCCCCACTTTGTGGGGAGGAGCATTGCGTGACGACACTAAAAACGGCTGTGTAGCAGACTAAAGCTCCCTTGGCCTAGCCTGCGAAAACATCCGTTTCTCCTCGCTCTTCGTAGCCTCCCACGCAGGCGTTTTTAGGAGAGCTCGTTTTTCATCTCCCCCACAGACAGGGATGAAAAACGAGCTCCCCTAAAAACGCCTCCTTGGGAGGCTACGCTCTTCGCCGCTGGGGACGTTTCGCGAAACATCCCCAGTGGCGAAGAGCGAGGAGAAACGGATGTTTTCGCAGCCTACGAGGCTCTGACGGTGTACAATCCTTTGTTTTTTGTGAAAGGTTTGAACCCAGGAGTCATTTTATAAGTAGGTTGAGTATGATCGTCCGGGTCAACGTAGTCCTGAATAGGACTGTTGTTGTTGACAGTGACTGGCGTTTCGACAACCTGTGCGGTAGTCATGATCATCTTCAGAGTCAGTGGAGCTTACAAATTGTGACGAAATAAGCAAATGCCACGTTTTTATTGGCCAATACGATCAGAATGATAAGAACACTATTTTTAGTGGACGTTGTGCCTCCAAGTCCCAGATATAAACATCTGTCCTGTAAACGTATATTAACAAAGGAGTCTGACGGGTTTCATAAACATCCCACTCAACATTCTTTCTTGATCCACTTTATGAACTATGGTAAAGCGCAGGCGACTACATCAAGTATTCGTTTTTGACTTATGCCCAGTCAACCAATGCGACGTGTGAGGAAGTGTGTATGACATCCGGAAGTTCTTTATCAGGATACCAGACGGGAAGACAGTTACAGCAGAACGAGAGTACAGGAAGTCAGTCAAACATTGCCGAAGAAAGAACACTGAGAATTGCCAAGAAACCATAGAAATGAGTTTCCTATTGTTTGGGTTTCCTGTTTTGATATGGTAGGATGTTTTCAAGAATTAGCCTGCGAACGCAAACGTATTTCCGGTCGTCGCTTCTAGTCTGCGTTCGCAGGTTAATCATTTATTTACATGAAAAAAGCCTTCACGTCGCGTTTCGTCTTCCCCTTCCTTTTTGCTCCCGCAGAGTGTAAATGTTTCCCTGTTTGTCAAGTATTTTTTACTGAAAGACATGAATCGGACGAAAATAAGGTGCTGAAGGAAAACAAGATGACTTGATGAGTGAACGAGTGAGTGAGTGAGTCTAGTTTTAGTACGAACATGTGTTGTCTTCTCATATAAAGACGCGAACAACATTCATGTGTAAATGGTTCGTATCTTGTTCGAGTCTTATTTCTAGTTTTGAACTCGCTTTCTCCAGTGACAAAGGCATATAGTACTAAATTAATGCGTACTCATCCAGATATAAAGCACTTGTAAAAAAAATGGGAAATTTGTCTTTTCTTTGGCATACGAGCAACAAACGCTTGACCAAATATAAGGTAACCCTTTTGCTGGCGCGAAAAAGAAACAAATAAAAAGCCGCAGATGATGTGTAGATATAACCTACGTGTAGCCGCACCGCACCCTACTCCCGACAAAGGAAAAACGGAGAGAGGGAGCTCTCTTAGGGGGAGCATAAGCGTTATTTAAATGACTATAATTATGTAGTTACAGTATTGCAAAAGCTTTAACATAAAGTTACAATTTATGACAATGATAATGCAATGCATCTCTTCGTTTTTGCTTTCTTGGGGGGGGGGGGGCGGCTACACGTTGGCTAATGTAAATAACAAACCAGCAAAACAAAACACTTAAGTGTAGGAAATCGTATTACGGTTTCCTACACTTAAGTGTCTTGTTTTGCTGGTTTTTAAAGCAATTGTTTTTGCCGTCAGTCCCCGCTCAGTTCTAAAAAAGCACTTTTAAGCACTTTTAAAGTGCGTCTTTAAATTTGAAATATAAGGACGCGAACGTAAGTTTTATCTAAGAATAGACTACGCGAGAAAAGGAGACACACCGCGTGTCGCCTTTTCTCGCGTGGAGTGATTTTCACGCGCGCTCGCGTTTCGCTCGCTCTAGTATCCCTGAAGAAAAATGGGGACTACTCGTACTCTAATCTAAGAACAGGGGTTTCCAGACTTTTTTTCCGCAAAGTGTCCGTATTTCAATTTTTTAGACTAACGTGATACAACTCACTTTGACTCTGAAGATGACTACCGAAATGTTTGTCGAAAGTCGACGTCAGTCATTGTCAACTACAACAGTACCAATCCTATTCATATTCCACATCCATCCTTGCCATCCGTAGTAACAGACGACAGGAAACAGTTTCAATGCTTAAATATTGTCTTAACTAACAAAACTGGACCATTATTTTTGGAGTTCAATTGATGCGAAGACTTCTTACAGCGTAGTCCCTTTAAAATGCATCCATGCCTCAGTATCTTTAATAGTAGGTGCAATATTTTATCATTGTGCGCGCAAATTATCAAATAAAGGTATTTTTGGAATACAACTTGGGTTAGAAAGAGAGCAACGAATAAAATGCCAAGTTTTAATAACACAAAACATAAAATTGACGAGTGTCTGTACGTCGCTGATTAGCTCTGATTGTAAACTCACAATACAAACAAGGATTTTCAATCTACCTCGATTTCTATCTTGGCTTGTTACTTTACATGCCTGAGTTTAACTTAGTTACATATAATAAATACAGCAATAGACCAGGTCAATCTACAGATAACCGGCTTAACATAACCATTAAGGTGGCTGAACACAGTTTTGGCAGTTTGTGAGTGTATGTTATTTGCCAAATCATGGCAAGAGAAAGGTTGCAGCTCACAAGCTGAAACTTAGCAGGTGAAAAATATACTAATGAAAGATTTTGATTGACAGGTAAAATTTGACGTTTTCGTAGTTTCCATGGCAACATGAACGATTGAATACAACCTTAAAATTTCACTTTTGTTCAGTTTACATAAAATTCGCTCATTAGATTTTCTTATAAACTTGCACACATCTTACTGTAACTAATCGTTACCATTTGAAACTTATTTGATCAAATTTTAACAGACGGACTTTTAGATAATCAATAATATAATTGTATTGTAATTATTAAATGTGTCACGAAATTCGTCTGTTCAACCTCCATTTTAAAGTTTTCATTGTCTAAAATACGATAAAAGTAAAAATTCTGCCAAATATCACAAAATTTTAATGAGTAGATTTTGAGAAATCGTCGTCTGTGTACCATTGCTTTTCCGCCGCCATGTTTGTTTGTCTAATTAAAAACACGCGCGGTCACGCGAATTACCGCTGACCGTCCGCAAAACTGTGTTCAGCCACCTTAAATGTCAAGGGCTTACAGAATTTATTCAAAATATATTTCTAGGGGTTTCTATTAATCCTCTACCTCCGATTAAGCAGAAGGACAACAAATTTCAGTTAGAAAAGTATAACTCTACTTCAACTTTAATTTAGCCACTTTTGTCAATAAAGACAAGGATTTATTTGTATGATAATTCGCCCGGTTCATTTAGTAGCGCATCCGTATTATATTCACTTTTTTTACAAAAATGCTACTTTCAGGGTGGGTGTTGACCTACTCACACTCTACCCCTACTCCCTCTGGGATAAATTCTCTTAAAATAAGCATGTTTTCTTTAGTTTTGAATTGCCGATACCATCTTTCCATGAACAAGTAATAAATTACATAGCGAGAGAGTATTAACGTAAAATATCTAGTTTGGAGAGAAGGGTCGGGATATAGAGCTCAAAAATTCTCACGTTCAGTTCTTTTTGTACTTCGTTTCCCACCCTCTCTCCCCTCCCGCTCTTTTGATGATGGCTTTGTTACTTTACGATAAGAAACAAAAGCGTGTTTCCTTGAACCCTTGGCCCCTCCTTTACAGAGAGGAGAAGTACGACGTCACGTTGCTCAAAAGAGACGGCTATTTGCATGGTCGAACGTTTGAACAAAGGTATGGGCTACCGTTTTGTTCCTGAGTGCAATCACGCCAAGGAAAGTCATTACATGTCAATTTTTTTTCGTTTCTTTTTTTAAAGCCGTACTTGCAGAAGCAGGGTTTGTGGCGATCAAGAAATTTTGTTTCCATGGTTACATGACGTAACAACTTCTTCTCTCTATTCCAGTCCCTCTCCTCTCCTTTTCAGACCCTCCTAGCCCTCCAAACAAACCAATATGAGGTAGAAAACACGACGCTTCCATTGGCAGCCGATTGATTTGCCCCGAATAAAGTCGATTCGCCCAATGTCACTATTGAGTGAATTGTGACCATTGAAACGAAGGCTTCACTAAAAGACACTGTCAAATGGACTTGTAAGGAAGCCTAATTACTTTACGTCTGTAATTCTCGTTCTTAAATAGAAAAGTCAAACGTCGAGTTGGCTATACTTTCTACCACGTACCGCAACGATAATGAATATTACTACAGATAGGAGTGTTTTCACTTGTTTTTTGACACGTAGAGCATTGTTTTTTTAAAATAATCTACTAATCGGACGAATCGAATTTAGCTCGGGTGAAACGGCCTCAGTTCCTTCCATGTTATAAGTAGCGTTAGTATTCCTCGTCACTGCTTGCGATTTGGCCTTTTTCGACATGAGAGCTGAAATGAAAAATGATACAAAATGTAGAAATATTTCTGACATAAATAATTATTATAACACTTTCCGCTACCACATCGCCAGGAAATCTTGCAGAGAGGGGCTCCCACATGAAACTAGGAACTTTAAGATCCAAGGACGCGACGCAATGGCAGCGAAAATGTCGCTTCAAAAGTAAATTTGCGTTCTTTTAGTCCATAATGACGGAGACACTTGTCGTCTTGCTTAGGAGTAGCGCGTTGAGTTGTGCGTAAAGAAATTCCGAAATTAAAATGAAAAAAGCCGCCGTATTGTGTTGAAGTATGGTCTCCTTTAGTGGTCAAATAAAGCCTGTTCCACACCCAGAGTAGTCTGAATCCTGTTGCATGGGGGCGGGGAGGGGGGTGAAGGGACGGATGACATTTTAGCCTAGACCCAGATTGGTCTCCTTTAGATGTTTAATTCTAATTTTCCGACGAGGATCCGCGTCATTTTTATACGATAACCGCACCCCCCGCCCCCCTCGGGAGGCCTCACCATGGATTTTTAGCAGATATAAATTCTCTGTGTAGATCTAAGTAGATCTAATTGATAATGAATGGTCTCATGCCAGAGGCTGGCACTTCCGAAGTGTTGAACGAGCAGAGAGAACAGAAAATAAAAGCGCTCACTAAACCGAGGCATACGTCGCCATTGGTACACTAGATGTAGAGGTTTTCTTTCTCCTTTCTAAAACCTCAGGAACCAAGGTACACCCCTAGGACACAAACAACGTTTGCCAACAAAGAAATTTCCTCCAGTATCTTCTTTAATTTTTTGAGTTGTAAGGGAAGGCTTCTCACCTGTATATATTATCCTCATCTTCAGATTCATTCAGCATTGAAAACGAGGAATGATCACGGAAATACGACTCTGAAACCCAACACAGCAAAAAGATTACAAGTTAATCTGACCGTAGCCTGTACCAGACTCTCAGATAGTCGGGAGATCGTTAAAACAAGCCAAGCGAAAATATGACGAATCTTTGCACATTTATACCATCCTTGAGCTAACAACAGGCTGACCTGAACGCTCTTAGCTTTCGAACTTTGCAGTCGAGCACTGAGATTAAAGCACAAATACCTTAAAATACCGAAATTAAGCCCCGCTGGCTTACAATTTTCAAAGCGTTTATTTGAGGTTCCTACATTCTGAGGCTTATATACGGAGGGGAATTACTATTTCAAAGTCCTAACGAGGGTTATTACATATAAACCACATACATCGTTTTCACTCACGTGGTCAACAGCTATCCAAACTTCTCGGAACAAAAGAAAATTTTTACACGAGAAAAGATTTTAATCCGCACAGCATTTTTTGGTAAACAAACATGGCCGCCGTCTTATTGCTTTGCACACAAATATGGCCGCCGTAACGTCATGTGAAAACGTTCTGTACGGTATTACCTATGCTGTTGTAAGTAAAACGTCTAAGCCAACGTGCTTACCATATAAAGCGTTTTTGGATGGGGAGTATACAAAAGCCATGGTGTACAGGTAAAAGTTGAGCAACCCAAAAAATGTCAGGAATTCTGCAGGTAAACAGCGTCAAGGAAACACACTTAAAATAAACTTATACGCGCACTCAGATAGATATACATTAATACGAACAAAAGCAAACTGTAAAAAAAACAGGGTTAGACGTGTAGTAACAGCGAGTTTAAGCAACAGGAACACTGACGCCCAGGACGTCATGAATAGCAACCGGAAGTTCGATGTCTCGGTTGATGGAACGCTTCCGTCTCACCACAACGACTCTGAATGCCTTTGTTTTAACTCCTGCTGTACGAATTTGTCGAGTCAGAGCACTGAAAGAAAGAAAATATCATCTTCCGTTTGCCATTTTCGACGTCCGGGATGTCAACGCTTATTAAAAGGTCCTAATACTTCATGCATCAAGCACGAATGCCATTCGACTCTTACGACCCTTGGGGAAATTCAAAATCAAAATCGACCTCTTCGTTCTTAGCGTCCCATGCAGACGTTCTTAAGGAGGATTGCATGACGAGCCAAAAGCACGTCTGCGGGAGAGGTTATCTTCTTCTGAGATTCTGAGAATTTGATTAGTTGCAGTGAATAACTCTGGAAGGGGGGTTGTTGACATTGCTCATAGTTAGTAAAGGATATAGTTGTCATAGTGAGTTTCAAGGTCAGCAACAAAATTGTCTTGTAAAACTCCTGTTCCAAATCGAAGGCCGGTGATCACCACACTGAAAAACAACAGCAAAGTTAAAGACAAATGAGTAAGGCTTGATCAACTAAGAAATTGTTTAACTACAAGTAGATCTCAATACTGAGGTTAAGTACGTGATGGATGTTACATGTATGTTTTTATCAATTAGTCCAACCATAAATAAGGCAAATACTTATACAGTAACGCTAACAAACAAATAAAAGTGCAGCTCAATACTGATACGTTGTGACTTGATATTTGGTAACACAGGTAAAAGTCATCTCTATCTGTGATAGCATTTATTTGAAAATGTTCATGAATTCAGGTTTATTATTAAAATGAAACAAACTGTTGCCAAACACGACCATACAAAAGTTAAAGAATTTATGGTCCCTGGTGAGCACATTTAATCAAGACGAAGTCATAGCAAGGCTCATCTCTGTGGTTTTTACATTGGCTGCTTTTCCTCTTGCATGTCTCGTTTTTTGGTCTATAATCCGCTGTCACAAAGGGGATAAACAAGAGTTCGTATTCTTTAACGCTCTTCAAATTTCAGGACTTTCCATGACTTTTTCCGTGTTTTAAGGTATTTTTGACCTTAAATAGTTCAACAGACACCAACTCTGGTGTCCCAAAAAGGCGTGCCATTTGAGCTGTTTAATTACTCCTCTTTATCTTACATTGTCCTTCCTTTGTCATCTACAGTAACTTATCTACCCCCAAAATAATTTAATTTTCCATGACTTTCAATGACCGACAATCAAATTCCATGACTTTCCAGGCCTGAAAAATGAAATTCTTAAATTCCATTTCTTTCCAGGTTTTAAATGACCTGTATGAACCATGGGCTAGTCTGATAATACTGTTAGTGTAAGAGAATCTCGCTCCATGTAAGGTAATACAACACAGTCTTGGATCCTGGATTCCATGCTGTAGATTCCAGATTCCAGATTCCAGGTACCAGATTCCACATTCTTTGTCAATGGAACTTTGATTCCGGATTCAAATTATAAGTGGGATTCCGAATACCTTGAGCTGAACTCCGAATTTCAAAGCCCCGGATTCCGGATTCCACAAGCAAAAATTTCCTCGATTCCAGATTTTCACAATTACTTTACACGGAAGCAAACCTGGAAAGAATGGAACCTTTACTTACCTTATTGTTAAAACAATTAGCATAAGACCAGTCAGAAACTTGAGCCGAACATCTGTTAACAAAAATTTTATCAAACACATAATGTAAGAAAACGTTTTGTATTAAATCTAGAAAGAACAAAAAACAATCTTTTATGGCATTTATAATTCTGTTTACATTAATGTAGCAACTGGGTACCCTGGGTCTTTTTTCCACCACCTTGAGAGGTCATGTGACCTGGGGTGATAATCACTTGCACAAACCACCCTGATGGAAATCTTGTGGATAAACATAAAACTATAAAATTTGTAGCACAAGCAACTACAAAGTATATCCAAATTCAAAAGACCAAAAAAATTGCATCGCCTCAAATCAAAGCCCATATTTTCTGAACCTTCCCAAACAGAATATTGCAAACCATTTGATTTTGCGAACCAAATTTCAGTTTTCCCATGTAATGTTTTTAGTGGGTATTTTGCAACTAGGGCATTCACTCAAAGTCAGATCAAATTCGAAACTGATCAATTTCAATGCATTGATGGCTGTACCATTGGAACACTGTTTGTGTGTGTGCATGAATTTGATGTTGTAGCCATCTCTGTCTCACAGTATTGGAAATAAAAGTCTGTATACAAGAGCGAATTTGTTGTTACAGCTATAAAAAGGAATTGCGCTTTTCATTGGGAGTTACTGTACGAAAAGAATAAAACGTTAAGATGTTTACCAAAGTAAGGCATAGCCCTAAGTTCACTGTATGCCCTGATTAACAAGTACACCAGATAAACCAAGTAAATTGCACCAATCGTGAAGAACAACACCTTCAGGCCCTAAAGAATAAGAGAATTTCAACACCTTCAGGCCCAGTGTTGGAAAGAAAACTAAAAAGATTTCAATAATAATAATGAATTTCACTATCAATCATAATAATAATAATAATGATAAAATAATTAATTTTAATAATGTTAAAACATTTTAATTTCATGATGACCAGCAGTCTGGTTTTGCCAGTTCTGACTTTTGGTCTTGACCTGCATGAGTTTCAGATCAGTATCATATTATTTCTAAAGTGAATATATACTATTTACAGCAGTGTTGGATCTTAAGTGAAAACTCTCAGGAAAAGCCTATTTCAATAATAATAATGGTAATAATAATAATAATAATAATAATAAAATAATTAATTTTAATAATGTTAAAAAATTTTAATTTCATGATGACCAGCAGTCTGGTTTTGCCAGTTCTGACTTTTGGTCTTGACCTGCATGAGTTTCAGAATTATTTCTAAAGAATATATCTATTTAAGCAGTGTTGGATCTTATAAAACTCTCAGAAAAAGCCTCCAATAATAATAATGGTAATAATAATAATAATTTAATAAAAGGTTAAAATAATGTTAAAAAATTTTTTTCTCCAGTCAGTTTCTGACTTTTATTTGACCTGCATGAGTTTTATTTAATTATAAAGACCTCCACCAGTGTTTAGGAGGTGGTCAGTTTCCAATTTATATATTTATTTATTTAATCACCTCTACCATATGGTATGGAACACACAACAGAGCGAGGCTCCAATTTAAATGTGTCCTTTGCAGATAACCCACCCAGGCCAGGAGAGGCTGGCCACACCAGTGGGGTCTACGTCACCTAATTTGAACAGTGGTGTGGGTTCTTTTACGTCCCCTAAGAACCAGATAAGTGAAAGTGCTGTGAGACGGGACCTATGGTTTTTTGTCCTTATCCGAGAAGACTAGAAAGTCTAACCATTTGCAGATGTCATTGCAAAGGCAGCACTTTCTCCTCAGTTATTTTAAAGACCCTGAGTGTTGGTCTGGCCAGGGTTTGAACCCGCAACCTCCTGCTCAGTAGACTGGTGCTCTCCCAACTGAGCTAACCAGGCAACTCATGGAATGAGGATAACTACATTTTGCACTGGAATCCTGATATGGGAAAAGCAAATTGGTTTGAATTTTCAGCTCAAGGGGTAAAAGTACTGTGTTTTGCTGATAGAGGGGGGAAAGACTGAGGGTTAGAGAAATCAGGATTCCAACTTTCCCCTGGTATTACCTATTTTTCAGATTTTGCCTCATTCAATTGAAAAAATATGACTTTTTAGGTATTGGTTGTATATTCAATTTTGATTTTGGGCGTCTTAAAGGGTTCTTACCATGAAGTGGCCAATATCGATCTTGTACTGATAGGTTGGATCTTGTAGCTCATTATACCTGTTGGAAGGAAAGTCATTTTTCAGCATTATCCCTTCAAAACTAGCTCTAAAGAGATGTCTGTTCTAGAATGGTGCTTCCTCAAGAGAGTAAAGCTACACACAAGTAGCTTAATCCTCCAAATTATAAAATGAGAAGGAAACTTAATGTTTGAGCATTAACAGCCCTAATTTCAAGTCCAGTACCAACTGCTGCTAAGCTGGATTGTTCTTGCAGTCCCAAGTTCAACTTCAGCAACCCAGGTTTGCCTCCAGCCAGTTGAGATTCGTGAAAACTTCCCCAAGAAATAAACAACTGCAACCAGGGAACAACTTTGAAGGTGATGAGGTATAAAATGGTTAATGAGAGAAAGACTTTGAACAAGGATGCCAGTAGAAACGAAATTATACTGCTACATGTTTTATGCATAAGAAGTACCAACTGCATGCATCAGGAAATCAGCCTTTATTGTCATATCTGACTCCAGGGTTAGTACCCTTTTTTGTGAACAAAAAATTCAAGAACTTTTCAAAGGCTTACAAGGACACATTTCCTATTTTCCATGGACTCCATTCAGTGCAAAAAAGAGCCTTGAGTCTATGTCTTTTAAAGAACTTCCACAACATGAGCAATCTTATCCTGAAGATCTTTCTGTGTTTGCTGCTTTTAGGCACTTGAGAATCCAGGTTGGATAAAGTTAGCACTGAAATTTAAGGACTTTCCAGCACCAACTGCAATTTTCAAGGAATTTCAAGGCCTTGGAGTTTTATTTTAAAATTCAAGGACTTTCAAGGACTTCAAGGTGCATGCGAACCCTGTGACTCTGAATGTCAGAAACACAACTAATACAAAGACTTACTGTTGCCAAGATGACAACGTAAAAGCTGAAACCCATAGAACACCAACAATGAGAAGCTTTGGAAGGTAAAAACTCAGTCGCCTTTCACTCTGCAAGAATAATATTAAACACACAATCAGAATAACATGTAAGGGAGAATAAAGCGCTAAGTAACTGCTGATGAATTAAGAAATTCTTCCATTGATTCCCAAGCACTTACAGACAGCAAATAGAAAGGAGAATCTAGAAGTTTATCAGTCATGATCAGTCCCTTAGGCCTTTGATCCAGGCACCCATTATTACTATCAGCAGTATTTTCAATATTAATTTAATTAATTATTTATTACATTATATTTATTTATTTTTAAAATTAACAAAAATATTGACACCCTGTAAAATAAAGTATAATGACTTAAAATTAAGTAATCACAGCGATTCCTAGAGCACCAAATTATAATATAGCTGAATTATAATAAAGAATATTAAGACAAGAATTTCGTTATGCTGAATTAAGTTAGGTTAAAGTGTTGATACGGGATACATGTACATGGAGGTCATTTCCGCCGGCAAATAGCACAAACTATTGTAGTCGAGTGGGGTGGAGATACAGGAGTACCGGTACATCAGTCAATTTTTAATTAGAATGATTAATTAATAAATAGATAAATAAAATAATATATAAAGCTTCAACGTGAATAACTATTAACTTATTCAAGCTACAGCAACAATAAACTTCAATTTAACTAAAAGAAGGGTTAGCGTCGCAAACCTGTCTGATGCCATGAAATGCACACAACCAAAAGAGCAGGAGTGCACAGAGAAAAGATGCCTGGAAGACTGAGTCAAACATGCTGGGCACCCAGCTATCAACCAAGAAGTTCAGTGGAAACAATGGATCTGCCACAGGAAAGCAAATTTTTAAAAAAATTAACCTTTCACTCATCAAGTCTGTTATAGAAAACAATGGGGTGCCTGCCCAGGGCTAGTCCCTACGATTTCAAGTTGCCAGGTACCCTTCTTTATTCAACTGATGATCATGATTGGGGAATTGTATGAATATAGCTAAGAAGTTCTTTTGGTTCAATTTTCCTTAATAGTTTCCAGGGTTTTCAATAAGATTTAAAGTAGGTGGCAAAAGCTTTGGAGTAGGTGGAGAAGGAAAAAACTCACGCCAAAGGCGTGACTTGCAAGCGCCAAAGATGTGAGTTTCTGGAAAAATTTTAAAATCTGGGCCTCTTAGAGTGCATTTCCAGCATTCTAGAGCAAAAATTAGAGTGTTTGAACAGAACACAGACATCATTAAATTTTGGATTTTTTGTTCAGTGACAGCACATGAATACTCTATTTATACTGCCAGGGTACATAATTGCCAAAGAAAAGGAGGCAGCGAGTTCACATGAAATATCCCCGGCCACCAGCTCTTATTGAAAATCCTGAGTTTCTGAAGAAATTAATCTCTAATCAAGCTGATTAATATTAAGTAGCCAACCCCCAGGCAGCCCTCAGTGACAGCCCGGTGTGCCCATTTAGTTGCAAGGCTCCCAACCAGGAAACATCACCAGATCAGAATATATTCCAGTTACATTCACTTAATGACTCGATAACACATCACTGTGTACAGCTCTATAAAGGCTAGAGCTAACCAAACAGGGACAGGTAATGATCCTAGCTTGTAAAGAAAAGAAAAAGTACTTGTCTTGCATTGAAAATTACACTGCCAGTACTAAATCTTACCGTTGTACAACAATAACAATGGCAGGAGAAGTGACATCCACCTTTGCAAAGAAAAAATGAACCAACATGCTTGTTATGACTGATACAATATTAACTGTATGCAGAGGAAATTACCGTATTTATTCAATTAACCGCCCTGGATGCTTATTAAATTTTTGGACCTTTAGAGTGAGCGCTTATTCAAGGTGGGTGCTTATTCGAGGCTGGGCGTTTATTAAATTCTCACCATTTTCAGCAAGTCTAGTATGTTTATTTTGCAACAAAACAATAAATGGTAATAACAAAACTTGAAGATGTACAAAAGCAAGGTCTCTGTAAACTACGCAGAAGAAAACTCCGTCTTCGGGGAAGTCTCTTATTAGTACTTATTCAATTTCAATTTAAATTTCAATCTCATTTTCACTAAAGTGGGTGGGGTGGGGGTGGGCGCTTACTCGAGGCTGGGCGCTTATTAACTTTTTCTGCCTTTAGGATGGGCGCTTATTTGAGGTGGGCTTCTAATTCAAGGTTGGGCGCTTATTCAAATAAATACGTTGTGTCATAAAGGAAATAAAAATACAAGAATTTATGGTACAAAATAATAGTAAATGTCACATACTTTTGTTCAATTGACCACTCATGTAGTGGAAACCTTCTCAGAGAATGGGCAAACATGCACTAGAAACAACAAAACTTTCATTTAATAACAGATCAAGCCACAAATAGATTTATCACAGCACAAAAACACAAGAAACTTAATTCAGTCCATTTGAATTAAAAAGTAAGAGAAAAACAGCTTACTGTGACCATGAATGTGAGAACCAGAAAAACAAATCTAAACCATATTTCCACCTGCGTGAAGTCTGCATTGTAGTATTTCAACTACAAACACAAACACAACATCAAAAATCAATATTAATAACAAAACTTATGAACAAATTATACCATTATGTGACTGATGAGTACAAATTTGTAGCACAGAAAGAGATAACTTTCCATGTAATCTTACCTGAAAGTCAATGTCACTAATTTGAATTCCTTTCGGTAAGTTGAGGTTGTGAAATCTAACAACAGCAACATAAGATGGATAATCGATGTATCCAAGATGTAGAATCACCAATGGCTTGCATTCCTGAGATGAAAAGTTCATAAGAATATATAATACTGTAAAATACATCAACCAAGTAAACGTGAACTACCTATAAATGCAGTCAGAAGCAAGATAAACCTACAAAACGTACGTGTTTATTAAGTGAAATGACCCTGGTTAGCGTAAGAACCTGTATGGTAAACCTATGAGTAATCACCAAGGCCTTCAAAATCCAAGACTTTGCAAGCAAATTAAGGTGGCTCGACTGGATTTTTTGGGGTTGATATCTCCCAACTTTGAGCATTAACTACGTCTGCATGAGTAAAGATATGGAAAAAAGGTTACCACAACTGTATTATATAAAGATGAAAATTTCTTATGATCTGGGTTTTATTGCAATCGGAGTCGCCATGGCAACGTAATGACGCCATTACGTTTTTCATTTATCTTTGTGTTTCTCTCTTCCAGGAGTTTTTTGAAGAAATCGCTTAAGGGAGTATGTACCTGCTATAATTGCCTCCATTATGGCAAAGTTTGAACAAATTCTATGAGAGCGTTTTCGAAATATTTCGAAATGTAGTTTTAAGAATAATCAAAACAGTGAAATAGCATGCTACCTACACAATTCGCTAATATTTTAAGAAAATGGTAAGGTATCAACCCCAAAAAATCCAGTCGAGCCACCTTAAAGTCAACTGGCTCCAAGACACAGGGCTGTCATTAAGAGCCGGGGCCCCGGCTATTATATGAATGTGACCCTCACCTATTTTTGTAGGAAAATAGAAGAAAAATAGAACCAAACAAAATCCCTAGCTGTTGGATTTCCTGCTTACTTGTATCATTACCCCAGAAACCTGAAATTTGAATGATAGCCCTGAAGGCATGAAGAAATGCAAAAATGAGACTTTGCGACTCATCAGAAATGCTTCCAAGATTTCAAGACCAGTTCAAAACTCTCAAGACGCCTTACCATACGTCAGAACTGGTTGGCCAGACCAATCCAGTCCTAAGGAGAATTCAGTTATTAATCAGGACTATCCAGTCATATCAGTTTATTCCTAAATGGTATGCACGGCAAATATGGGTTTTAGTAAAAACTTTCTGAAAAGACTAATATTTCATTTCTCAAATGATAGGTCTGGCCTGCACATTCTGGCTTTTGGAAACCACCTGTAGATACCTATTACCTTAACCATACAGGCAAGATCTGCTACCCCACTCTAGGGACTGAGCACAATGCCAGATGGGACCAAGTCTTGAATGATTAAGGTGGTAAATCTTGTTGAAGAGAGAGAATATACAGTGAATTAAGAAGCACCTTATTGCAGTTAAGTTCACGTGTTCTGTTGTAAGCATTTGTTCCTATAAGATGGTAGCTGCTGTCCTTGGCTCTTCCAAGCAGTTTAACACTCAGATGAAACCTTTGAATTAATGCAGTCCCTGTAAAGACAAAAATTCCATACATTACTTTAAAAAAAAGCAATAAAATGCCCCGGGTGGGACTCCCATAGGAAAGAGGCAGGGATGCTCGTAGTTTCACTTGGGGGTGTAAATTTCAAATTTTGATCTCACTTGGGGTGTTCTGGGCAAAATGCCTTTTATATTTAGTCTTAAAGGTCTCTTTTAGAGTTGCACATGAAGAAATATAGAAAAATTATATATTTTCAGTTCATTTTATTTACTTGATTCATGTAATTAAAGTTTAAAATGTTCTCTTTTAGGGGTCATAAAATGGTTGGGCCACGCCCAGATTGGTCTCCTTTAGGGGTCTAATTCAAAATTTCCAACGAGCATCTCTGCCCCTTTCATATGGGAGTTTCCCCCGCCCCCGGGTAAAATGCAATAGTCAAAATAATATGGCACCAAAATCAGGAAATACCAGCTAACACAGTGAAAACATTGGGGTAAAAAGATCTTATGCATGCAGGAAATACAGATTTAAGTAGTCAGAACTATGGCCCCGGGGTGCATTTGATCATGAGGTAGCTTACTATACACCGGTAATAAAAACAAATTTCTGGCTCTTGGCTTGTTTCTTCAGTGGTGTTCACTTGTACTTTAACAATGTAGTTCTAAATATTTCAAGTGATTTTTGCATGATATTTTCATGACCAGATCTGGTAATAATATTAAAGTAGCTCTTTTATTAGATAAGTAGGTGGAATATGATCATCCCGGTAAGCATAGTCCTGCGTGGTTTTTAAGCCGTAATGTTGTTGGCTATGAAGACTCCAAATGTTACAGGTGTGTTTCGATCCATCTTTTAGCACAGCTAAATGGTCTTCAATTGTTTGCCAAATTGTTGGTTATCCAGTCATTCTGTCCTTATCAGTTTCGCTTGCAGGCACAGATTCACACCAACTCCCACCGTTTTGCAAAAGTCGGTCAAATTTTTCATAAATAAATATATTTTTAATGAAAAAAACCTTTCCAAGTTAGAATCTAGCCAATATCCTGTCTGAATGACTCAGAAACCCAGGGAGTAAAAATCCAAAGAATTTCCAGGGGGTGCAATGTCCCCAGAACAACTAGAAGCTTCAACTTTAGCGCTCGTTTAGGATATTGGTCAGTATTTATCCTAGGACTGCACCTGGCTTGGGTTCATCAATAAATCATTTGTATGACTATATAAACTTTCATTACTATAACATATTTACCTGGTTTGGTTCCATTCAGCTTAATTTGGCATAGAATCCAGAGTTGTTGGTTAAACGTTGACAAGATTCCAGTGTCAATCCTGAAGGGACCAGTCTAAAACAACAAGACAGAGACTCCATGTACTTACAGCAGTAACTTATCTAACATGATTAAAGTGAGGAGGTTTCGAAAACATAAGTAAAGATTAGTAAAGAACTAAGTACAACGCTTTGATTGGTTAAGAGAATGCAAAGCACGTTGAATGTCACTGATATCTCTAAACAAGTACGTATGACAAGGTGAAAGACCAGCTACTAATCTTTATTAGTCTTATCAGCAAGTGACATCGATATAATTCTACCAGTATGTGCAATACAATACACACTAGAAGTAGTACAAACCGTCAACTTTGCTTCTGATTCACTAATTTCTGAAGCTTGTAGGGTGTGTTCTGTAATAATAGGTGGTCCTGTTGAAAAATGATTCAACATTATATTCTTAAATTGAAAGACCCACTTAAAATAGACAATTCTCTTTACAGTGGAACCCCAATTGATCCATTGGAACATATTGGGTAGGAGCCAGCATCCCAGGCGGGGTCCTCCTGGAAATTCTTGGTGGGGGTGTACATGCCGTCCAGTTTTCAGAATCCTGACCTTTTTTACACCCTTTTTCAGGCCTGGCCTCTGATATCAATTTCTGTTTTCAGACCTGCCTGGCAGGAATGATGACTGTCATAAGATTAGAATGCCAACAAAAAGAATTCTTGATCTTAAAATGCATTTCAAAGTCACATATTACTTGTTCTTTCTTATCCATTTGGAATTATAGCGACCTTAAGCATCCACGACAAAATGAGACGATGACGCCGACCGGAAGTGAGATTTTGCTGCGTGAACCTTCTGAGCATGCGTAAGATTATCAAAACGTCGTCCAGCCTTCGTCGATGATGAAATTCAGGGAGGTTCGCCGTTGTCGCAAAAACATAAGTATAAAACTACACTTTTAGGATTTAAATCCCTCTTTTTCCCCCTTGTCATTCAGTACAAGGAGAAATATATTCTTTGTGGATTAGCAGAATCCAAATGTTAAGCACTTTGTCGATTTCTTTGCCTGCTCACTTGAATTTCTTTTTTTCAGATTCAGTTTGTCTGAAAACCTGAGTGATGATGGAACAACCAGTCGAAAAGACAAGTAAAAATTTCCTCTGCTATCTTCCAAACCTGCTTGATTAGATGCTGTTCGTTTGTGCATTTTAGGTTGTACTAAAATTAATCAGTTCTCATGTTGTTTTTGGCCGCTAATAAATTAAAGGCAACTATTTCCAGTGGACTCCAGAACATGACGTGGAGAACTGACGTGGAGAGAACAAATATGGAAGAACATTGCAGCAGCACTGAATTCTCTTCAGCAGCCGAATAGAGTAACTGCAAGCCAAGAACTGTTTGAGATCGGTATTTACTTTTAACTTCAAAACAAAAACAAAAGCTGCGCAATGAAGAGAAAGCCTCAAGAATCGAATAATACAGGTCATAAAGTATAATAAATTCGCCATCGTCGATTAAACAATCTTCATAGCTTATAAGATGCAAATTACGGAGGTCTTGGAATGCCATAACAAGACTGTAACAAGACAAAGTTCTTCGCAAAGAAAAAGTCGTTGTCTGTCTGGGAAGCTGCACTGCTTAAACTTCGTTTTCCTTGCCGAAAGTGAAACCCTTGGCCCAGTCTGCCTCGGTTGCGATCATCATTGTCCGTTTTGTTGTCGATGCTTAAGGTCCCTATTGAAACGGCAAATACATTCATATACTCCTTTAGTTCCCCTGAAAACTAAACTTGATTCCAGGCAAAAAAGGGCAAAGTCTAGATCCCTTTTTAGACCGAAATGGCGCAAAAGCCATACCCTTGGGGGTGGCACACATGTCTATGGATTATATAGGGGAGTACCCTCTATAGGGCCAGCATGTACATCCCCGGCCCCCTGACAATTTTTAGCCAACAACAACATACTAGATGGCACAGAACTTACTCTGTAACTTTAAGGTTTGAATCCACGGGTAGCGGGCTGGGGAAAGGGGAAACTTGGAATTGAATGGACCATAAGTAACCCTAAACTCAACACACATGTACATGTACATTTTGTTTGAGAGAGCAAAACAATAAGAAATATAAATTTATGACAACCTTCAACAGGTGACCCACAACTTTGCAAAATGAAATTTAGCCCAGTTTACAAATATTACTAGAAATACGTATATCACAACAACCCTCGTGAAACTCGAGTTTTTAGCGCCACTCAAGTTAAGCCCTGTTGGGCGAGGTAAAGAACTGGATAGGTGACCCACCACAAATATTGTTGTGAGAGGATCCCTACGTGTACACTTCATTCTTTCTTTTCTTTTTCTTTCTGTATTGTCTGGTTTTATTTGAAAAACATATTTAGCAGTATTTCAGCTGTCAGATTTAGAAAAAAAATGAAAACATGGCAGTTGAAACTTTGATCCATCAGAAGGGAAAACGCCAAATTAAATTTGGGTTTTCCATGGTGTAGAATGCATTGTAAATTAGATTCTAGGACAAAAAGACAAGAATTTTGACAGTACAAAAGGCCAACTGAAATGCACTTTAGAGAAACATATTGCGCGACCTAACCAAACTCATCTGTGAAGTGAGACGCACTGACAATAATTGTTCTTTTAACTCGATTTTCGCTTGTATTTTGATAATTGAAGCTGCTGGCCAAGTTGATGCAATATTTTCGGTAAAATACTTCCTAATCAAAATTTCGGGCCAAAATCATTTCTGGATTGCCAAAACAGACGCAAAAACAGAACCGAGGCACCTCAACATCACAAATCGATGATGTCACCGTTACTACCAACCCAATATATATTATAAATTATATATAAAGCCAACTGGTGTTTCTGCCTTGCTTTGCGATCCATGCATGTTGCATGTGCGGTGAGAGCCTAAGACGCGACACGCTAGGGGGTCTGGGGACCTGCCTTCCTGGAAAATTCTGAAAATTTAAGTACTCTGAGATGTAATCTGGTGCAATCTGGGCGCTTAAATTAATTGGCAAATGCCAGGATTCCACACTGAACAAGAACAGCCAGTTGTGGTTGTGGTCAACAACAGCAACAACGTAATGACCTAATTGACTAGCGACACATTAGTTGCACACATATCTGAAATCTTGGCTTCACGGCTTCTACATCAGTGGGTATGTCTCCGTAAGCATGCATTAGGGCAAGTCGCTCTGTTTTCGTCGTAGACGGAAGTACGTCTTCACTCTGCGCATTGTGCTAAAAGATCGTTCAGGGGTAGCAGTTGACACTGGTATTGTCAGGAGGATGTTAATAATTGTGACCACATTGGGATAAAGGTCTGGATTAACATGCTGGAGTGTCTCTGTGAGATGTGTCACTGGTTTTCCATCAGTTTCATGAATGAGGCCACTTTGCTTGCCACCTTAAAATTTCATTGTCAAAGTCTCTATTCTCTGAAAGATCAGTTTTGTGGGTTTCATAAAGCTTATCTTGTACTCCACTGTTCAAAGCATTCAGCTTTGCTGGAACAAGATATTGTCCTAAGAAACAATTCTCTTGTGACTGTAGCCTGTCATATCGTTCTTGTAGGAGATGATCAACCAAAGGAAAATACACAGCTCTTTTCCAGTACATTTCATACCGTGCGAATCACTTGTAAGCCGTGCTTATTTGCTTAAAGGCATGTACGCCCCTGTTTGATGGTGCAGTTATTTCTACAAAACTATCTCAGGCTCAGTTTTTTGTGAAGTACTGCATTCAGAGGTCATTCGTAGAAAATGCCATAGCACTGACTCATCAAGATGTGGCATCTTTTAGAAGGTGTTTTGTCGCCTTCAGTGAACCCATCAAGATGTGACATTTTTAAAAAGACACTTCGCTGCCTTCTACAGAAAAAAAAGATGATCCAGAAGCCACTACCTTATGCAAGGAAAAACATAAGTTGACCGTCTTGCCCTCATGGCAAAGTGACCAACCATGGCTACTTGTAAAACGTAAATAAACTGTGTTTAGCCTAGGCCTGTAGCCTGTTGTAGTTAACAGTGATGCTAATCAGAAATGTTCAATTTTCACCGTTCTTTTACAGAATTCTGCACTTTTGTCCGCGCAACCCAAATTGCAACCGGGCAAGTATGCCATCAGGCTTAGGCCCGGTTCAGACGCCGCTCCACTCATGTGCCAAACCTAACTGATGAATTAAGTACAGCAAAAGAGCAGCGTCTGAATCAACTTGGTACGGCAGTTTTAGTTTGGTGCGGCAAAAGAGTTAAGTTCGACAGAGTCTGTCGAACTTTTATCGAACTTAACTTAGGTTCGACACACGGTACGCTGTCTGAATCAGATGTCGCGCCAGTGTCGCTCCAAAGTCGAACTTATTCAGTTAGGTTCGGCACATGAAAGGTACGGCGTCTGAACCAGGCCTTACTTGCCTGGCTGATAACTCTGGGAAAAAATGAATATAGATTCCTGATAATAAGATGATCTATGTTATGAGAACCCAAATCTGGACACAACATTTGAACTCTGATTTTGCAATAATACACTGGTGTATCTCACACGTTCGAGGCAACTTACCTTTCACAACTAGTAAGAATTACTAAAATTAATTACTATTAAAGTGCATTGAAATAGGAGTGAATAACTTGTAAGATTGAATAACAGAATATTTTTTATTACTAAACGTCACGATCAAATAACAGGAAAATAGTTTATTTTCCTAATAATTGTAATAAGTGAAAGTGGAGAACAAACCAGGAAGAACAAACTAATTTAAAATACATATACTAAGTGTGTGCATTAAAAATATGGATATTGGGCAGCTGACTAGTAAGAATATTCTCGGACCTTTATCGTAATTATCATTGTTAAGTCGCACGTTTCAATGGTCGACCTTTCAAAACAATTCGCCTGAAAATATTTACACAATATTCAGCTGTTTTTTAAGTGAACAAGAACACGGCGAGGCGAGTTCGTCGATCAGCCAAAGTTCGAATTGTAAATTAAGAAATTTAAGGCATAATCTCGTCGTTGCACGGCATTTTCTTTAACATTGGAAATATTCGATTTTTTGCAGCTGGTCCAGTTTTTACCGGGATATCTCATTCTGTATAATTAAGATGACAAACATGTTTTAAAATGGAATTTCACCCCTATAGTTAACGCGAGCCTTCACTTATACCCTAAAATTGGAGGCGGGAGCGACTAGGAGCTATTGCACGATTTAGCTCGTTTCAAGTTTCCCAAGTTATAATGTTGATTGTAAAACTAAGAGTATTAAAATGCATAGAAAAGGGCTTACATCTAAAGAATACATTGCTACTTTTCACGAAGCAAGAATTAACGTTACTTATCGAGACAAACCTGCAATTCCGATAATAACCGTGAGAAAGAAAGCCACGAAAAACGCTACGAAAACCAAAACAAACTGCCTTTTTGTGAGCGTGTAGAGCCTCATCTGGACGGTGCTAAAAGAAAAGAAAACAGGACTTCAGGAACGACAATCATATTTAAAAAGGAAACTAACTGTTGTACTTACGATTCCATTTCCTTAGTAGCCATTTCTGGGGCTAAGTAAAAATCTACTCCGCAAACACAGCCATATTTCTATAAATTAACATGCATTGACGCCAAAGGAACAACTCATCACTGCGCTTTGTTCAAAACAGTCGAGGGGAACTGGGGACGAGGAAAATTTACATCTCATTTCCACCGGGGAGGTGCCGGGTTGAACACCAGGAAGGGGAAGAAATTTACAATGTCAGATGGCATTTTCTCCAACCAGGAAACCATACCATCAACAGAAACTAGAAATACGTGTATCGCAGAACCTTGCGAAGCGAGCTTCGCGAGAATAAGATACAGGACTGAAACCCAAGCGCATTTGAAAATGTTGTTGAAGCTTTTAAAAGTCAATCAAATGCTTTACCTCACAGACTCCTCACCATCACGCCGGCCTAGAAAGAGGAACTTTTAAACATGTAACGAATACTTTGGTATCCAGAGGAAGTAGCTGATCATGATGTGAAAAATAGAAGACGTCACTATATTGTTGTGTTGTTGACAATCTTATCGACACCCTAAAGTTAGCGTGTTCTAGGCGTTCCGCAAAGGAAGTTCAGCGCGAAGTCAGAAGGCTGGAAAATATAAGGCTGTCTTTCCTACTCACTTCTCTTTGCGCCGTCTGCACTACCCTGATGCATGGAACAGGCTACCCTCAAGTCGACGTACTTAACGTACTAGACACCTGTCGTCGTAGCCTGTGTGACTAGGGAAAGCCAGAAAGCACATATAAACAGTATAAGGAGGGGAATTGGGAAACCTTTAGCGCTGTCCCCTGGAAGACTTCTCTGCGCCGGGCAAGAAGAACCCCTGAAAGAAGTAAATACAAGCTACAAACAGATCTCTAATATGGAGTCACAGTGGTGTCTGAGGCTGTCGTCGCCTAACCAATTGACCGTTTACACTACGGTAAACCATCTAGAGTACACGTTTCATTCGGCGTTTTAAAAAAGACTATTCAATTGAAAATTAACCGTCGCACAATTGATAATAATAAATCTGTGTTAAGCTCCTGTATCTTTTCCCCATCGTACCTCATTGTGGAGAAGCAGGGGCATAAAAAGGACACCTTACAGTTGAATCAACATGCGAAGCAAAGAATGACACCCAAACCGCCGATTAAACCGCTGTTGCCAGAAGTGTGGGTGAAGATTGGGCAATGGAATTTCAGGAAAATGCTCAAGAGCTGAGTGGCAAGTGTACCGCAGGTGGTTAATGAAAAGAGAAGGTATGCTATAAGCACCCTGAGGTTAAGTGAAATAAGATGGAACTCCAGTGGGAAGCTAAGATGATGATGGCTCCTGAAGAAACTTTGCTTTACTCGGGTGACGTCATGAGAGAGAAGTTGGTTTAATTATACTAAAAGATGGTGCAAAGAGTCTGTTAGAATGGAAACCGGTGCCCGAGGGGATGAGCAGCGCCAGGTTCAACTCAAGGTGGTAGCAAGTCACGGTCATACAGTGACAAGGTCATACAGTGACAAGGACTGAAAAGAATAGTAATGGTGACAGATGGCCGACTTTCGTCAAACCACTATGAGCTGGTCAAAGGTGGAGCGCTCTTCCCATTTCAGAAAGATTGCTATAAGCAAACATGGATTTCACCAGGTGGTAGTGCTAAACATCAGCTAGAAAATGCGCCATTTAGTAAGGGTTGGAGGAGCTCACTGCCCGGCGCGGAGACTTCCAGAGGACATCAGTGAAGGTCTCCCAATCCCCCTCCTTATACTGTCTATTCGTGCTTTATGCGCGGTGCTGATATTGACGATTTTGTGTCACATCACCACCTGTTGATGGGAAAAGCGCGGATCATGTAAAGATTTCAAAATTGAAGAAGAACTAGAGTGCGTAATAGGTCACCAAGCTGAGGAACATATATAGAGCAGAGGCACCCAACGAGAATATAGTTCAAAACCACTTAAACATAGCATTGTTCAACGTATTTTAGTATCTAAACGGTAGATATAGGCATATTTTTATCCCCTAAAAATTTTTCATCTGTTCGGATTTCCTAGCTGAAAGTCTAGTGATCCGAAAATTATAGGGATCAAAACTTACCTTTTCGAAAATTTCAGCCAGAAAAAAGGCTCCCGAAAATTCTAGGTGACCTTTTTAGGGTAAAAATCCGTTAAAAATGGGCAATTATACCATTTTCGGGGGGTCCGAAGGCAGGCAAGCGAGAAATTTAACAACAAATGTTTCGAAAATTCTAGATCTTACTGCGCTTTTCACAAACATGCGAATTCTGAAGTTCAAAAGACAACTGACGATTGCGTTTTTCGCTGCCGTCAATCATCTTAACGGACCTCTTAGGAAACAAAACTTTACCTTAACGGGTTCAAAAGGTCAAGGTTTGTGATTTGTGATTGGTGGATTTCGATCCGTTTTGTGTGTTTCTGTGTTTCCAGGTTCGTTGCTTGTGATCGTAATTATGATTGACGGCAGCGAAAAACGCAATTGTGAAGGCGGCTTTTGAACTTTAGAGTTCGCATGTTTGTGAAAAGTGCAGTAAATCGTCTTCCGAACAGATATTTTCCAAAAATTGTCGTTGGGTGCCCCAGATAGAGACAAAAAGACTTGTTCAAGCTGGTGGTGCAAAACAGGTATGAGAGTCTTCAACAGTTAGACCTTTCGGTGGATGCTGGTTATTCTGAATCGAGGCGCATGCGAAAACGTTCTGCTAAAGGTGAAATCCAAAGGGGTAGACCAATATGGAGGCAATTAAGTAATGACACGAGGCAAAGCAATGCCGTGAACATGGCCAGGACAACGGGCGAGAAGAAAGCTGCGAGAGAAAGATCCTCCTCCTCCTCCTCCTCATCATCATCATCATCATCATCATCATCATCATCATCATCATCATCATCATCATCATCATCATCATGGTGTACATTCACTCTTGACAGAGGAACCCCTCCCTAGATCGATCACACAGGTGTCTGTGCTTGACTAATCTTGACCATACGAGAGAAAGATACCAGGAGTTAAATAGGGAAGTAAAGCCTTGAGATGAACTGTAGAGGAGAGAGGAGAGGGTTTACGTTGAGTCATAAATGGAGCGTGCTGAGGAAGCCCAAAGGACAGGTGACTTCAAGGCTTTATACGAGGTTACCTGGAAGTTGAGTGGATACTTCCAAAGCTCTTGTAAGCTGATGAAAAATGTTGCTCAGGACAGCAGGGAAGGAGATACATAAGTGGAGGCAATACTTTGAGAGTGTCTTAAACCATGAGGAATCTCCAAACCCTCCGGTACAGACCCATCCAGTGAACTGGATATAAGGTCACATTCCTCGTGCTAACATCAAGAACACTATCAAAAAGCAGGCTGCTACGATATACCATCAGAGGCAGTCAAGGCTGGCGATGAGGTGTCATAGAAAGTTGTTCTGGAGCTTAGTAATTGGATGTGGGACGAGGAGAAGGTGCCGATAGAGTGGAACGATCTGTAAATCGAGATGCTAAAGAATCACTACCAGAGCGTCTGCAAAAACTGGATAGCATCATGCTGCTGAATATTGCAAGAAAATTCTTCTGCGGGTTGGTTTTGGAATGCGATGAAACGGCATTGGCCAATACTAGAGGAACAGGCGGGTTTTCGAACCTGGTCGGAGCTGTGCGGACAATATAGCGACGCTGAGAATTATTGTAGAACACAGGACTGAGTGGCAGTCCATTGACATAAAGGCCTTTGACACAGTTGACAGTGTCGGCAGGGAGGTGTTGTGGAAGCTCTTCCGGCACTACGAAATACCTGTCAAGACAGTCCCAATCATTAGAGGGGGTCCACAAGGTTTCCTGGTCATTCTGGATTGGCTGTCAAGGACTCAAGGACAGTCTTTGCAAGGAGGTGTGGTATTCAGTGGTCCCGCAAGATCCGGGTTTCCCTGTTAATCCGGCCCTAAGTCAAACAGGATACAAAACATGAACGACATCACATGCTCTCTGGGGGAACAGAGGGAAGGTTAGCCTGAAGAATATTGCCACAAATACAAAAAGGGTTCCAAGAAGTGTGATGTGAGTTGTGATGATTACGGGGTAGCACTGATTGAGCTAGGAGGTCAGTTGACGAGTTCAGGTACCTTGGGAGTATTGTGAGTAAGGGGCATTCGACAACAGATGCCCTTTTATACATGCTGCAAGCTGTCTATGAAGCAGTGGATTGTGGTAAGGCTTCTGCTCGGCTATTCTTCGCTGACTTCACGAAGGGATTTGATCTTATTGACCATGCTATCCTGATGCGAGAGCTGGCCAAACTAGAAGTCCATCCTGTGCTTTTGAAATGGATCGCGACTTTCCTGACCAACAGGCGGCAAGTAGTTAGAATCGGACGGACTCTGAAAGGCGGAGTACCCCAAGGTACAAAACTAGGTGTAATCTTTTTCACAGTCACGACGAACAAACTCCTGTCTGACTGGCTCCTCCGTATTAAATTTGTCGCTGATACCACTGCCTTGGAGATTATTCCAAGGAACTCTATAAGTTTTCTCAGTGTTTTCTCAATGTCGTTGCCGGCTTCGGATATCCATAATTTCGCCATATCTCTTAACATGAAACTTAATCCAGCTAAGTGTAAAGAGATGTTTATTAATTTCCTTCACATTTCTAACTCCTCACTAAACCCCATTGTAATGGGTAATAATATTATAGAGCTGGTTAAAAATTACAAGATCTTAGGAGTAATAGTGAACAATGAACTTGAATGGAATAACAATGTAGATTTCATTGTCAAGAAAGCCAGTAAGAAGTTATACTCTCTTAGGATATCATGTAGGCCTGGAGTGGCCCAAGGTAACATTTGCCACACAATTTGCCACACAATTACATTACTTAAAGATGCCAAAAGAAAAAAAAAAAATGTAGGAAGAGATGGCGAGGAGGCCTAAAAGAAACTATAGAGCTTATGTTAATTAGGCCTCCTCAATTACAATTTTTCGAAGATGGCATAAAAATTACTGTAAGACCTGTAATAGAATATGCTGTCCCTGTATGGTAGGCTATTCC